GCTAACATCCAAACAAATTAAGAGAATGTCTCTTTAATTTTTAAGTTAGATCTTCTTCAAACTTTTTATACTTGTTTTCAACTAGTAAATTGAGATGTGTAATTTTTTTGAATTAAGATCAACTATTAATATAATATTTATTAAAGTTTGAAATTTGATGTCATATTTACATAGGCTTTGACTAGGATTTGTTAAAATTTACTTGAAATTTGATTAAGATTTTTAGGCTTTTTTTAGGAATCTATTAGGATTCAATTAAGATTTCATTACAATTCTATTCAAAGTTGCTTAGAATTTAGTTCAGCTTTATTTTTATAGGAATTAAAATTTTTTAGGATTTATTTTAATTTCTTTAGGATTTTTTAAAATATTTCTTTAATATTTTATTATTATTTAATATTTAAATTTTATTTTAGATTTTTTAAAGATTTTTTGAAGTTGATTATAGTGTAATAAGATTGTTTAAATTGCTTAAGCTTAAAAAGGTGCTTTTAAATACCTCATGCATTACTTTTTTGGATTACAAATTCAACTTCAAGATAAGATTATATCTTTTTATAGCCAAATTTTTAAAGTATATTTAAGCTTATTTTATATAACACAACACCTTTATTTTAAAATAATCAATTTTTATTATTCTAAAAAATTAGACTTTATTATATTTCTTAAAAATAAACTTTTATATTTTTTAGCTTGAGACCAATGAAGAAGAACATTCTAAAATTGAGCTACCAACCTGTAAAGTCCATATATCATCTTTTACTAAACTGGAAGTTTTTTTTTATCTAAATTCTAAATTTTAAGATTGTCATATCAACAAAATGACAAAAAAAATTCTACCTTCACTTTAATATATAAGAATTGATTCTAAAAAACTAAAAGAAAAAAATAAAAAAATATTGGAATCATTTACAAAATCTAATAAATAATTGGCATGGCTTTTCTATTAGTACAAAAAATATTTCAACCAAATGAATCCATGATACCTCTATATATTATTATCCTAAGACCTTAGGATGGTGGCTACATTTATACCTTTGAACTTCAAGGAGTTCAATTGAGATCTACTATCTTCATTTCTTCAAGAATCAAAATCCAAAATTTAGATTAATGGTCATCTAATAAATCCTAAAAATTCTTCTTTGAAAAAACTAACTTCATTATTTAGTTTGATTACATTTTTTAATAAGATTTGACTATTAATATTTCTTTATCCAAAGAATTTTTTTATATTTATGAAAATTAATTTGTATCTTTAGCCAAATCTATTTTTTCCATGCAAAGAAACAAAATCATAGTGCCTATTTGGCTAGCTTAATTTGAAGTGGTGGATGCATGATTATAATCTTTGAAAGTCCTTTGTTTGGTCTTTTTATTAATTTAAAGTGTGCCAATTTAGATTAATTGAATTTATTCCTAAAAGTAATTCTAATTTATTGATAGCTAACTTATGACATCTTTTTTATCTAATTAAATTTTAAATTCTATAATTAGAAAAAAAACTTTAAAAAAATATCAACATTGATTCAATTAGTGATCAATTTATTATGCTTACAAGTGATATCCAATAAGACAAGATATTAATAATTGTAGGTGGTTTCAAAATAAAAATTTATAGTTCTTGTCAACTCTCAATTATACTCTAAATTTTAAATTTTTATTATTTTCCTATTTTACGATAATTAAACATGTTAGATTATGATTTATATAAGTAGAATTCAGTTTTATAGAATTTTTAGGATTACAACCCCTCATGGTATAAATCATAGCCTAATTCCTTGAATTAAGTTAATTAGGACTAAAGTGACAAGAGTTAGAAAATTAAAATCGCAACTTAGTTAGTTTAATAATTTAGATGTTGTTAGTCATTACTATAAGGGTTGACTAAAAGCCAATGAGTATGTCTATAATCATTCGCATGATTTAGGGATTGGAATTATAACTCTCTAAAAGATTTAAGAAAGTTAGCAATGGTAATTTTGGATTTTTCCTCCAAATTTGGCAAATTTAAGTGGCATGGTGGTTCTTCTACTTAATGTGAGTCTCTTTAATGCAATGGTGGCACCGGATTTACCTCGTGGAGTGAAGAAAACAAGATCAGCAACCTCTCCTTCAAAATACAAGAGAAGCAATGAAATTCTCATTTTGAAGAATTTCACAAAAAAATTGCAAAGATCCTTGTAAGTAAAAACTTCTATAGAAATTATAATTGAGCATGGATTGGGGCATAAGAGTAGTCGATCTTAGCTTAAAAAGGTGTTTTGAACACAATAGTGAAGTTAGATTTACAAAAAAATGCCTTCTTGACCACTTACAAGGGCCATCAGCCTTGATAACGAGATTGGCTCTTGGATGAATGAAGGCCGTAGATCTAGATTAGGGATCTGAAAAATCAAGGGTGGAGATGTAGCCACCCTTCTACGAACCTCCACTCAATTGTATAAGAGAGGCTTGGTTTTCCAAGCCCTCTCTCTATCCTCTTTTGATGAAGGATGAAGCCATGCTAAAATTTGGCCAAAAATCCTAATTTTAATTTCATTTAGATTTTAAATCTCATTGTGAATTTTGTGGGTGGGTGTGAATGGATTTCGAGTTGTGGATGATAGTCATTGGGTCTTAAAACACGTTTCATTGTGGTGAATAGCTCCCTTGGCCTCCCAATTACTCCAAGGGTTTCAAGAGCCTCAGATTTCCCTCCATCAGTCATTCAATTGTTTTAGTTCCAATGTGATTTTTTTTGTGGTTGTAGCTTTTGTTGTTAGCTTTCCAACAAGGTAAATCTCGCTCCATTTAGAGTTGAACTGAATTTCTGGTAAAATTTTGAGTGTGAGGGGGTCGACTGCCTTCGCAGTTTGGTTTAATCGAGTTTGGGAAGGCATTTCTCAGTGCCTGATAACTGGATTCGTTTGAAATTTTGGGAGAATCAAGATTTGTAAGCTAAGCTTTGAAGGGCACAAGTTTCGCTGGATTTGAAAACAATTTGAATTTTTAGCAAATTTCTAAATGAAGGGGGTTGGTCTCCGCGGCAGTGTGGATCACTCAACTTCAAAGGAGCAATTCACACGACTGGATCACTAGATTGCAATGAGATTTGTTGGGGCAGGAGCGTCTTTAAGTTAACCTTGCAACAACTTGCTAATCATTAAATTTGGAGATACTTAAAATTTTTTGGCGAATTTTGGAGTAGAAGGGGGTCGCTGCCTTCAATCCTTGGCGTTGTCAAGGTACCTTCGCTTTTACCTCTCTAATTTTATTTTTACTTTTATCTTCACAGTAACTCGTAATCTCCACATTTCAACTTTTGATTAATAAATTTTAACTTTTAACTTTTAACCTTTAATATTCTCACTTAAAATTTTAAACTTTGAACTTTAACTTTTGAATTTAATATTTAACTTTAAATTTTAACTTTTAACTTAACTTTTAACGTCAACTTTTAACTTTTAATTTAAACTTAAGTTTTTATCCTTATTGTGAATTAATAAGAAAAAATTAATTAATTACTTTTATCCTTTTTTTGTGTGGTGAATTTCATCTGATATTTTAATTTAATATCAGTAACCATTGCTTGGAAGGTGTTAATTTTAATTGAATTACAACCACCCACATTTTAATTAACCTAACAATTTCACAATTGGGAGTTCTTCCATTCTACCTCTTGAGCTCATTGTGTAGTACTAAATCCATAGAGTGGTGGATTTTAGGCGCACAGTTCTTAAAAAAAATAATAAAATAGTCAAAGAAGGGAAAAAAAATAAAATAAAATAAAAAATATTGTCAGGGCAATGCAATTTGATAGGTCAAATGATTTTATGCAAGAAATTAGATTTGAAGTTATTGTTGAAATCTTTGTAGAGTTTTTGAAGAAATAGCATTAGATTGTGAAGTAAGTCTCTTTGTTTTTGCACTTGATAATACTTCATGAATGTAATAAAGATATTACTAATGTTATTTAATACTTCATGAATTTAATAAAGGTGTTACTAATGCCACCACAAATTTTGCTTCTACTACTACAACTTATTTTTTATAAAAAATAATTTTTTTTTTACATATTTATATTTATATATATATATATATATATATATAAATGTTTAAGTGACATATCTATTTACTAAATCAACCTACCTTGTTGGGACTATCATTTAAAAAATAGATCATCTCTAGAAACCATTGTTATAATTATAGCCTTCATTCTAACCTATTTTGTTCCTAGCTCCCCCTCCCTTAGTTTTCAACATTTTTTATTCCCACCCCCATGTTCTCCTCCTCCTATTCCCAAATTCTCATTCTAAATCCCCTTGTTCTCTACAATAGAGTGTCTCAATTTAATAAATGGATGGATCATTTTAACATTTCTTTGTATATATTATAAATAGTCACCTAATTTTTAATTAATATAAAAGAAAATAAAAACACATATTAAATGGATGGTAAATCGTAGTGATAATAGCATAAATTGTGATAGCATAGGCAACAATAGGCAACACCCTATAATGAGGTGATTATTTTTATACAATACAAACAAATCATAGCATATGTAAATCACCTTCTACAAATTTTCACTATTATTATTATTATTATTAATTTTTTGTCTCATGAAAAAGGCTTTTAATGCTAAAACCTAAGGTTATAACAATTCAAAGTTCATTTACTTCATTCATGTTTACATTTTTCAAACGAAGTACATTTGTATTTGACAAAAGCAACTTCATCCAAAACAGGACAATTTAACTGACCCAAGATACATGCTTTGTAATACTATGTCTGAAAGTTTGTCAAGAACTTATTCCTCATTATTTGCATGTGATGATCACTAGGTATTGAAGAATAGGTGCCAGTTTTGAGGAATGCAGGAATTATACTATATAAATAACCAAAAAATAATGAACTAACAAATCAATTTGATATATCAAATATTTTCCAATATGTGAACATCATCAGAATCAATTACATAGTAAATATCATCAATTCAAGGAGTTGAGCCTAAGAACAGAGTACAGCAGAGAAGCGGCCCACAAGAAAGGTTGAAATTGATTGATTGGACCTTGCGAACAACATTCACTTTACAATGTGAAATTGACAGTTCAAGCATTTGCCGTGGAGATATCTCTTGGACAATCATTTACTGAGAGGACGATTAACTTATCACAAGGGCATTCCAATCTCACAGGCACCACACTGCACAAAACGGGGAGCCATATTAAGCCTCTCATTTCTAAAACCTTTCTCCCACACGAAGATATAGAGCAACGGAGCCAAAAACAAACAAATGCTGTGGAGCAGCCATGTCAGCGTCAACTGTTGTTCGCCGTTGGTGGGACAGTCGCAATCAACCTGTACAACCTGAAAGCAGAACTATAATTCCAAGCGTCAATGTAACGATGAGGAAACCCACAAAATAGATACTTCTGCTAGTCAGAGAGATCGAATTGCAGAAAGTCAAAGGATCTCGTGAAGTATCAATATGACACTTCACATGCATCATGAGTGTTGACAAATGACTACCAGGACTTACGTTTGCGTTAAATCCCGTATTTAGAGAACATGCAATTCTAAACTCTAAAAAACGTTTTGAAATCCAGTCAAAAAAGTGACCATTAAGGGGTTCTTATCAATATGACAACTAGAAATATATGTGCAAGCATTGTCATTAATTAGGGTTCTTGTCCTTGCTCGTCCGGCTCTCATATCTCAGATATTACGCCTAACCCTAAGTCAACGCGCATGGAGAGCAAGTGGAAAAGAACATTAATACCCCAGCAAGGCAGTTCCGAAATACGAGTCTACTCAACAAAATCCACCAGTGTTGACGATACATCAACCACATAGATTCTCAGCCTGCTTACTATCAAGAGCATCTTTGAAAGGCTAGATGCATGTGTAAGCATTCAGAAAGCCAAAGAAACTATGCATCATATCCGAAATTTACAAGCACCTACTAGTGTCCGATGAAGATGAAGATGGTGCTTGACCTGGATGAATAGCAAAGATCTTCATGTAGACGTATCCACTGGCGTTTTTGGTGTCTTCGGTGCCTTCGGAAAGTGCTCGCTCAGGAGTTTAGCAATCTCCGTAAATCCAACCTTGTCTTTGCCTCCTAAGACTGGCTTTAACTTCTCATCGCAGAGGATTTCTCTTTTGTTCTGCGGATTCTGAAGAACAAAATTGAACATTCATTTTCCAGTCAGATATACTGTTAACAAATCGAGTAGGTGGATAGTACATCATTAATCCTTAAGCATATCTAATATAATAGCCGATTCTTTGTTTACATTTCTGTAAGAGTTAAACTCATTTGTGCTTGATTCCTCATCAGAACAATGCCGTTATACAATAGCTAATACAGACAGTCAGAGCGCATACCCACCAAAAGGAACATACTAAAATCTTGCTGCTAGGGAGACATGCAAAAAATAGGACAGCGCAATCAGCACCAAAACGTGGAATATCCACTGAACAAAACAAACGCACACAACTATTACCTACCTTACACTACCACTAAAGCACTAAAACAATGTACCTGAAGCTTTTGATCCTTGATATAATCCCAGATGCGTTTCATTGACTCGGGACGCGAGCATTCTCCAACGCCGAGAAACTTCTTAAGCGTAGGCGACACTTGGATCGCCCGAGTGAGTGCACCTCCCACTTTCGTGGCAGCCTTTGCTCCCGACGATACAGGCATAGTTCCCCTTTGTTACTTGCTTCCGGCAAACGTCGAAATGATTCGACCTCCTTAAGAACCCTACCTCCTGCTTCTTTCTCCGCTAAACTCCGCCAATATTGAAGCGCAGCCGATCTCCCAAGCCGCACAGCAAACTTAACTCCGACCAGCAAATTTAATACTGGACGATGAATCGAAACACAAAACAACCTACCAAAATTCCAGGAGACAATTCGGAGAGGCGACGAACGAGGCGCCGTACCCCGGCTGCAGGCTTGACATGGATGATCGCGGTCGAGGGACCTCATCCACGGCTATAGAGATCGTCGCGGCTATGGGGCTTGGTTCCTCTCCCGCTCTTGACAGTGGTGGCTCTCATCGCCTTCAAACTTCAAAACAATATGCAGAATGGAGGTTGAGGATTGTGAAGATTGGCGGTGCAAGTGTGATTGGAGTGTATGTTGCATTGATGGTTTAGGAGGAGGAGGAGGAGGAGGTGGTGGTGGTGCGTAGTTTGAATTGAAATTTAGCTGCGCAAGGATTAATTAGCAAGTGGTCAGATAGGTGAGAGGTTGAGTACAAAATGACTGAGGCAATCGGGAGGTGTGGGCATTGTTTATTTTTTAATTTTTGTAAGAGGCTATTTTTTCTCATACTCCGTGGATCGTCGCTAGCTAAGTGTGATGAAAACCTATGGAGTTACGATTCGGTTGCTTTGCACACGGCGGGTTCTTGTATCGGCTTTCGATTTAGAATTTCGTAATGCTGACATTAGCGATGAGCATTTGACACTAGCGCGTGGAGTCTTGATTCTGTTGTAGTCACAGTGGAAAGAATCGAGGATAGTCGAGTCCGTGTGTGAAATGTTTGCGACGTCTATTGGAATACTGACACTTAGCTGGATGATTTCATCATTGCTAGATGTGCGTCGAGGATTCATTCATGAATTCTTGAGTATCGAAATCTGAAGCGTACAATAAAAGTCGATGAGGACGGCCCACACCAGCATGTAGTTCGCTACTCCATTGTAGACGATTTCATGAAGGATATATCTGAGACGACAGAACACGTTCTATAACTTGTTGGTCACTAGCAAAATGAATCTCTCAATTTGCACTTTTGTCAAGTTAGATTAGAGAGATCAACAGTTCCCTTTTGCAATTAACATGTTGCTCTACCGATCTTGACCAAAAATGAACTTGGCAGCTGTAAGTCGACTCTTGTTAGCTTTGGGTTACTAAATACAGTGTACGTTCTTAGGGGCTCCAAACCTCTTTGAGAAGTTGGTATCGTCCTGTGAACACTAGGGAAGCATCTTGTGAGTGCATCTCTGCAATATCCATTTTATCAAGAGAAGGAGAATTGCGTGTGTTGGGACTCTCTTTAAGCCATGCGAAAGGGGTTTGAAAGTGATTGAGTTCATCGTCGCTTCCGTAGCCCTTCCGAAGAAGAGAAGATGGTGCTTTGCCCAATTCTTCTGTTCCTGGAGGTTCGCCAATCCACAACCTAACAAATTCTGACGATGGAGGAACGTAAAAAACAATCGGCACCGGGGCTATGCTGATATCCTCAATATTCATTTCTGCTTCGCCTTGCATCTGCCTCTCTAGGGACACCTGCAACAGGATGTATTTGTACTTAATTTGTGATGCCTAATTACCACCTCACACAAACTCATATCAAGCGCCTAGGTTTAGGGTCAAGGGTATACACAATCGAACTTGCAGTGAATCGGCAACTAACGACCAAGACTGCAGATCAGGACAGTAAGTTCATGCATAAATATCCCAGAACAAAAATTTCGCTAAAAGTTTGATGAATCACTCCAGGATCTACCTCAGCATTAATGGCCGCCACAAGGGACGGCGATACAGGTTCTGGGGCAAATTCGTCGGGAACAAAGTCGTACAATATGCGGCGGATCAAAGGTAGTTGCAATTGTGGGCAAACCTACCCAACCATATTCACAAGTATCCTAATTTTTAGATGATTACCATTCTTCCCCACATATATGCTCTCTGTACAGCTTAGCACATGGTAGCAGATCATCACTTCAATCAATCTGATTTTTCCCGTCAATCCTTATAACAGTGCTTACTAGACCTCTTGAACAAGCATGTTCATCTTTCAAAGTCAGGTGTGAAGTTATGTTTGCAGAGCTTAAGAACATGAGAGCTGATGAACTCGATGACCAAAGAAGAACTGGCAATGGATGAGGTACCTCTTTCCTCACTGACTTATCCGTTAGCATATCTTTCGGCAGCATTAGGAGGTCGCCCGCTGATCTAAGTAGAACAAAATAAGGACTGCGTTTCTCAGCTTCTTTTCTGGCTGCCTGGAATGTCCACCTTTCAGGCACATATATTGATCTCAACAATTATTGATGGGGATCGACAAATATGTATGCTTTTGCAAACATGCAGGCCAGTGTGTGGTTTTAAAAGGATAAGGATTTGCACAATCACAGCCCAATTTCTTTCTAGCGTGTCCAGCCTTTCTCGTGGTCAACAATCGTAAGGCGAAGTGGAGACGAATATCCATTTTCAGTATTGAAGGTGTGGGGTGTTGGTCCCAGTCTCAAATGAATTTAACACTGACATAATCGCGTAACGTAGACAAACGAAGGTCTGTTAACAAACGACATTTCCAGGTAGCACTAAGCAGATTGGTATGTGCAGCTAAGCTCAGAGGTATTTTGCTAACACAGACTACGTATGTCACAGCCCCTAAAAAATGACTGTCAAAGACGTAATTAGCAATTTCAAAGAGATCGGCAGCGTACCTCTCTCCTCATGGCCATCTCGATCATATCTTTGGGAACCATCAGCAGGTCACTCGCAGTTTTGACAATGCTATACCTCTTACGCAACAGCACATTGTCATCTTGTTCATGTTCAGAATGTTCCGACGAATTATCCTTAATATTAGATTCTGTAGGGGCTTTGACGCTAAGTAACGTAGATAGCCAAGTCGACCATGTAACAACCTGCAAAATGTTCATGTAAAATTGAAACGTGCAATTGACATGGTTTGTTTTTCCAGGTTTCGAAAACTACTATTGCAACGAAGTTGTTCGCCTGAACAACCTCAGAAGCTTCAAGCATCCGAACAAGAAGCTGGTCAGTCATATGAGCGGATTGAAGGAATGATTTTGTCTTAAAACAGTTATAAATGGCATACCGCATTCTTCAGCTGAGAACCTGCTCCAAAAGTCAGGGCCCCTACAGGAATTGGAAGGACTGAAAGGTCTGTAACAGGGTCTGCTAGAGGATCGGTAGGAGAATCTTCCCCTGGGTTCCGCATGATACCGTTGAACAGAGCTACATCCAGCCTATCCACGCATTCTGAAATCACCTGCAAAATCAAACACTAAAAACCTCAAACAAACAATCCTCCACACCGCGAGTAAATTTAGTCCTCAACCAGAAGGATATCAATGCCGTACAGGGGAAGAAATCCTGCTGTGCGTGATGCACAAGACACTATGACCATCACGAAGAGGGACTAGGCACTTTACATGAATGTGTCCTTTCCTAGGAATGGAAATTCTTGAGAGTTGGACATGGTCTTGTACCTGTCTGCTCAAAACAGGCAAGCACCCGCATTCTCCCTCGTGGCCTTGAAGGGGACATAGTCTTTTCAATGCGTCTGCGAAGGCATTCTTCCAGATCTCGATGGAGATGATTCCTTGGCGGGCATCTCCAAGCTGCGAAATTTTTCCATCTTGTCGTTCCTTTGTGAAGAACTCCTTTACATCTCCAGCAAATTTGTTGAGTTCACCGAGGCCATCTTTTACCTTCCCTGCGATTCTGTTCAACTCATCTCGCACGTTGATGAAGGTCTCACCTAGGGCGCCTGCTCGTGCCTTCCGATCACTGCCACCAACTTGCATAGGTGGAGCCATAGCCTATGCGCACTTAGTGTTGTCAGAAAGAAAGATTCTTGACAAATTTCATCCTTGCAGATCAGTTCCCAGCCAATAATCAGTTCGTATTCAAAATTTCTCTCAAGGTCTTCACCAGCTTAGCCACTTCTTGTAAAGAGACCGACTAATCAACCGTATAATGCAAGACTGGCTGATAAACCTGAGAGAGACCAAGAGGACACACAGAGCCCCGCAGTGCATTTCGGGATCCGTTCACTAATAAACGAGATAAGCAGTGGTAATGTACCTGCCACCATACACACTCGAGTATTCTTCCATGTATCCACGTCTCAACTTTCAACAGAGCAACGACGAAAGTGTTACAATCCTGCCATTTGTTATTGAAATGCTTAAACCCTAAAATTTCATACGTGCTTCCAGTTCTGGTAGTTCTTGTATGCTGCTGCTGGTACTGTTTGGCACGATCAGCATAGCTACTGTCGATGCCACTAGGTGTGGCAACATCTGGATCTGTAGTAGGCTCCGCATTGCAAGCCTGCATGATTGACTCTCTGAGAACAACTATATTCGACCACCAGTATGTCAACCTAGAGTCCAAGGCAACAGTTAATATTAGGTCCTGCTTGTCTTTGCTCAGAACAAAAACATGCGAGCTATTCTTGGCGGCACCTGCTTTAAAAGCCTATTGGACCAGGTGAAAAGACTGAGATTGCTAAGCAGAGGCAGCCGCACCTTGGGACATCATTGCCACATGCCCGGACAACTACGACCAGGCCCTGAACAGCGTTTCTGGCTGCGCTGGCATGTCTATCCGAGTTACAGTTTTTGTAGGCGTATACGTAGAGTCTTGCCAGGCGGCGAGCGGGAGTGTGCACTTTGTGAGAAGAACTTGTATGCTCAGCCACTATCGAATATAAAGCAACCTCAATAGCAGCCGTATCTCTCAACTCGTCTTCGCGCTTCAGCAGTTGTTGTTTCAAATCTCGAGCTATTTCTTTTCCCTTCTCCTCGTTAGCAACTGCCTTCGCTTCTGCTGCTGCCACTTTAGACCTTAATTCTTCTATGGCTCGTTTCTCAACCAAGGCTATCTTTGCCCTTGCTTCTGAGAGCACACTTTTACTGCCATCACTTTGGTAACCTGCATAAGACCATTTCTTTTCCGGTTGAACCTGACTGGAAGAGCTCGAAGCCGTGGCAGAATCGATTGACCGCGAATACAGCTCGAGCTTGCCTCCAGTATCAATGGGTGAAAAGGTTCCGGGCGTAGACCCTTCTGGAGTAGAGCCCTGAGACAGTCGACTTTCCTTGATCTGAGATACCTTCATTGTGGCATACGCAGCAGCGGCTTGCACCGCTGGTGACTTGCCTATCCCAGCAGAAACTTTTGCTGATGCAGAAGAAACGGATTTTTCTAAAGAAGTAGCTGCCTCCTCAACCATCTTGGTAGCTGATGCTGCGATGTCAGCGGTCTTACTCAATCCAGCCGATGCAACCACTGCTTCAAGATTGGTCCCTGCCGAAGTCGCTTTAACTGCTTCAACGCTCTTTTCAGCAGATTTTCTTGCTGCTTCTACGGTACTCCCAGCCGAGGTCGCTACCCTATCAAGATTTCTCCCCACAGGAAATTGTCTCACTGCTTCAACACTCCTTTCTATGCTCTTCCCAGCTGAGACCGGTGCTGCTTCAAGAGAATTTGCAGCTTTTGCCAAAGCTCTTCCTGGGGGTGCCGTTAAATTAAGACCTAGCAACTTCTTCCGCTTCTCCTCCTCAGACAATTTTGGTGGTTCTAAACTACTTTTTGATGTTTCTGCATCAGCCTAGAATCATCACTCGATATAAGAATGTAACAGAAATTGTCTTGCTGAGAAATACATAACCATCAGCTCAAACCAATCGTACACCAACATACATCACATGCATCCCAGCAGTCAAACCACAACGAATACTGCTCATAGATTTTGTTTTTTAAAAATGCTTCATGAAAGCTACATATATGTGAGACAAATAAGTCATTATTCATTGATATTCGTTCAATAGATGGTGGTGTCATCTGATAGAGTTCCAGTTAATAAGGTCAGCGGCGTGCGAATTTCGCAGGACCATACCTTCGCATCAAAAGAACTGCCAGAACTTTGACCGTTGTCGTCTGACGGTGCAGGAGAAGCAGTCCTTACTCGGGCAATGACGGGGTTTGAGGACATAAATTTGGATGCATCTGAAGAAGCAGAGGCTGTGGCAGAAAACAACTGATCTCGTTTGCTTGCTGGTATTTTTTTCGTGCTCATTGTGTTATCATAAGAGGACCTAGGAGAATCTTCGTCATCAGTGAACGAGTCGATCTCATCACTTTCATTGCCGTCTGAGTCGTCAGTTTCCGGCAAAATATAGCTCGTTCTCTGGCTCATGCTATCTGCTCTACCTCCAGATGAAAGTCTTCCAGAGAATATTGAAGGTGAAGGAAGTCTTCCACTAGAAGAAATCCTCAAGGATAAATAGGGGTCACTTCCCGAATTACTTCCACTTAATGCAATGGTCATTGGAATACTGACACATCGCGGTTCAGTCAAATACACAAACTGTGATAGGTCGATCTCTCCAGTGGCGAGTTGTCTGGAAATTTTTATCGCTTTTGCATTCTCGTCCTCAATTAACGCGAAAGTCACGCACTTCTTCTGTATCTGCCCCGAGCTTCTTTCGAACAATGTGGCAGGAAGTCTGAAGCTCTCGTTGAAAGCTATCCTCCCAACTGACGGAACCACAGTCTTTGTGGTGCCAGAGCGATTGCTGCCCCTTTGCCAAGCCAGCAAAAGGGGAATAGTTGCCCCATCACTCCATGGCTTGATATCCTCTATGAAGATATCAAACTCAAACTTGACGGGCGTACCCTTCAGGCCCCTGAAGAACATGGTTACATCAACTCACTATGCATTTCCCTTCAGTTCAAAATGAGAAAAAAAATTCTTGTATCCTAAGAACAAAAGAATTGAACCGTCGATGCTGTGAAAGCTCCTCACGTAGGTTTTCATCATCTTAGATCCGCTCATGCTTATGAATGGCAACGGCCATATCTCACGGATCCGAGAGAGAGAATCGTATTATTATGGAAACTAAAAACACACCCCTAATGGTGCGAATGTCCAGGAGTAGATTTTGAAACTTGTAACAATTGCTTACTTCGCGACGTTTTGTTTCCCCGCGCGCGACTCTTAAACCCAAATTCTTTTACATATCTCTCTGTTCCACAACCTCCGCCTACGCTATTTATCACGTTAAAAGGAAAAATCAAACCACCTTTCCTAACTGCAATTTTACTCTCGCATTCATAAGAATTGCAGGGCACCCCATAAATCCAGCATCCACATCAGTACTCTGAGAACAGAAATGCTCCGGTGTGAGGAGACGGAAGATTGCGGAGTGACGGGTTGTCGCATTCAATGCCTGTGCACAAGAGCATGAGTGAAAAGACGTACAAAATGTTGGTCGCAGGGCGTGCACGACGCCCTTCCGAATTCCGGCATGGACATGGATATGGACACATGGGATAGGTAAAAAGAAACTCTCAAAAGAGCCGAAGCGTCCCTTAAATGCCACTATGAGCTAACCACTAACGTAACCCTGGGAAAGTTTTCAACTCAGGGCTAACCCTAAACGAAACTGGAGCACCATTCCTGTTCCCAGCCACTCCACACATGCATATTACATGTTGCAGTGCGCTAGGCCAGCAACCCAATTACACGAATGATTAACTTTACAACAAAAATCCGGTGGATTCTGTATTCTGTTCTTAAACAGCGTAATTGCCGTTTCATCTGCATACCACGCAAACTACACTTCTACTGAGATATGCATGAATTTTAGATGATAATACTGAGCCGTGGCCACAATTCCTCTTTCCAAAACCCCTCAAACAAAACTGAAGTTGTGAAATATGCCAGAAAGTCACCCTCGTGTGAAGTGAGTCACTTCTGGGGATCGGTAAATTCTAACAAAAATATGAGGCTGTCGTGGCATTCATCACCAATTCGTTGATCTCACATGATCAAATCCCATCAAGGCAGTGATGCAGTAATCAAGCATTGAAGAGTATCAACCCTACCATGAAAGTAGTGGACCACAAGTTACGCTCCACTGCAAGGTTATCTACTACAAGATATCCCTCGTCTGGGCAAATCTCACAAATTGAGACCTGAAACCCTCTGAATAAAAGTGAGGGAAGAACCAACTGTTCTTACAGTTCAGTAATTTTTACCTTGTTCATCTAAGTACACCTAGCCAGGTATGAAGGAAAGGTCACATAGCGCACGGTTAGAGCTGAATATTCACACCGCAATGCTACGCGTGATGTGAATAGAAAGCACCACACTGAAAGCAACCAACCTCACTACATTGATCCCAGCGACTGGTTTCTTCTAACTTAATCAGCAGCTTTGATTACACGATCATCCATGACCTCTTCAAGATCTTCTGACTCTCCCATCCTGCCGGCTTGCTCCTTCCAGTACATCATTTGTTTCTTCAGTCGTAATATCTCTTTCGTTGTAGTGTTTTTACTGGCCTCATTAATGATGGATCTGACCCTTGTTGCATAGCTACCAATACAACAACAGAAGTCAGAAGTAAGCATTTTCAGGCTGGAAATCAAATCAACTCATACATCTAGAAATCTCCATCTTTGAACCTTTATTAGAATCTAGAGACATCAAAAGTGAAGTGAAAAAATAAAGATAAAAATTGGAAAGGAACACGAGCCAGATCAGTTACTCACCAGAGTGAATTATGGGTCTCATCCAGGTTGGACTCTGCCGGTGAGATATTTACAAACATGAGTGTCTTCGCATTTCCACCAAGAGAATCGCTCATGAGCATTGTTAGCTTGTGGTTACGGTAAGGAATATGCTGTTCCTCTGTTGCAAGGGCGCTGATGACATCACCTAGTGCTGATAACGACTTGTTGATGCTTTGGGCCTCCTTCAGCTGTTCACCACTAGATCCAGATTTCTTCACTCGTTCGGAGCCCGCTAGATCCACAAAGCTGAGCTGCTCGGAGTTCGCAAAAAATAACAAAATAACAAAAAATAAGAAGATCGCCAAAAGGTGGTGGCATTGATAATCACAAAGAAGTGACCAAATTAATAAAGTATAATATTCTGAAAAAAGGTCGGAGAATTTCTTTTTGCATCAGTTTAAGAGTAGCAGCACACCTTGCCCTTCACAAGAACTTGAGACTGTCGGTTGGTACTCTCAACGATTACTGACAAAATGAGATGTGACCGTGAACTCTCTGAATTCATGTGGGTGCCCGACACATGTCGTCTCTCGAGCCCCTTGTGAACAATAGCTTGCAGCTCATCATGTGATGCTATCGGCAGCAATGTAGCATTCTCTACCACAACCATGCCCTACAAAGATACAAAACATTTAAACCGTTTAGAACCTCACAGTACCTCAAGCGTTGCCCTGTATCCTGAATATGCCAATACTTGGAGACGGATCGAGTAGCTGAAATTGATTCCGTTGATCAGAATCAATCAGTTGATATAATTTTCATGAGTCAACCTCCAAACCAAACTTAAGCACGGAGAATTATTCAAAATGTATGAACACTTGTAGCGGACTGAATTAACCTGAACTTGACAGCAGAGGGTTACAATTACCTTCGAATCCTTCTTAATCTCAAGCTTTCGTGGCTTTGCAGCACTCTTTGGCAGAAGTAGATCAATGAGCGAGTCTTGATATATTTCAAGCATGTAAACCTGCAAATACAACGTAGGACATTAAATTCAAGCTAATCAAGAAGTCCACTGCAAGTCAAATCCAAGCAACACGTATGCAAGCAAGTCATTTTCCCAGAAGGCGATAGAACCTTTAGACAGCGTAAATATAACACAAATCAACTTCCAAAACCATACCTAGTTCTACATGCCGCAAACATAACAATGAGCAGCATTTCAGAAATTGAACATATAATTCTTCACAAGAAAGACATGTACCTTGAGACTAAACGAAAACTTATTAGCATCTCGTTTGAGGTAGCCAAAAAGTTCTTTTGTAGCCCGTGGCGTCAGACCTGGGTTATTTTCAGAACCATAAATAGTAAAAGTTTTCCCTGATCCAGTTTGTCCGTATGCAAAAATACAGACATTGTACCCATCAATCGCTGATTGGACCAAATACTGCACACGTTACATTCATGTTAGCTGCGCAGAATACAGAATCATTATTGAATAACAATGAAGTTTTTGAATACCCTAAAACAGCAGGACAACTAGGTGTGTAGTTCAAAACAGTGGGAATAATCAACGTCTTTTAATTGGTCGATTGTGTTTCTTGAGACCAATAATTACGAGCACAGAGACATACCCTGTTAAAATTGCAATAGTTGAATCAATTATTTTGAGATCAGGACGTTTACCTTCGTATCTTCAAAGACCTCCTCTTGGGTTGCATAATGATCGAAAACATGATCAAATTGATGTTGTTTGGGTTTATCATCTTTCCAAGGATGTTCGATGGTGAATTCATCGGGGGCTATCAACACATTTTGTTGCCGCTCTTTGATCTCCTTACTACTAAGTGGTCTCCACCGAGCATACACTCTTATCTTACCCTTCATGTCTGAAATCCATTATACTGTTCTGATAAGCCCCTCTTTTGTTACGATAAGATTGCCAGAGGGAAAAAGAGTACCTTATCGAGAGCTTGCCTCGCAGACAAGTTCTTACATTGTGATATGCGAACATTTAAGTAAAAAGCATATGAAAGGCAGAGAAAATTTGTAAATGAAGTGTACCTTCCATCATGTTGAAGTATCGTTTTCGAAGGACTTGTTCTTCTCTGTACAACGTTTCTAGTTCAGTTATCTGGTCTGCCTGTCGCTTCAATATAGCTGCTGTTTGCTCATTCTTTCTGTCAATGTCCTAAAAACAAAAATAAAATAAAATAAAATAAAAAAGTAATCATAATTCATTATCTTTCAAAGTTAATAATCCTACACAACTCAAGTAGTTATAAAAACTCAATAAACGATGATTTCAATAGGTCACAATAACAAAAAAAAATATATCAATAGTCATGTCAACCATGCATTTTCATCCTAGATACATGTTTTTTTCTCTACCTCTTTCATATCCCGAAGTTCATTAAGCTCCATTAGACTGCTTTGCATGGATTCGAGTTCGCCCTCACGAGTTGCCAACGTTGACTCTGCAAGACTCAAATCTTGCGTACGCTCTGCTAACTTCTTTTCCAGAACTACAAGTCGTCCCCTCAAATCATCTCTTTCGAACTCGAATTTTTCTTCCATAAGGAGGGCCTGAGCTCAGAGAGCAAGAAACCATCAGAACTCCTTCGACGCTAAATGTGGACACGTGTTTGTATTCACCAGATGTAAACCCCATGTAATCTTAGTGCAGCCAAATAATAAAGCTTATTCATAATGGTTCAGAGGATTTTAAAATCTGATGCAGCAATTAGAATCTGCCACCACAATGCGCCTGAAATATATCTGGACCTTGCAAAATTAGCAACAATAACAAGGAAGAACGAGAATTTTCAAGCCGTGAAGAGGTGTTTCAATAACCGACAAATGGTCATTATTACCTCCTCACTCTTGTTTTTCTCAAGACGAGATGCCTTCTGCTCAAGCAGTTGTTTCTCCTTAGTAAGATTCTTGACTCTTTCCTCCTTGTTACGTAATTCCTCCGTTTTCTGTCTCAAATCATTGCGCAACTCCTTAACCTGGAATTCATCAGGTATTTTCACATAAAAAAATTTGAAGACAAACATGTGAAACAAGAGAAGACCACGGCCTACTTTTAGAAAACAAAGGTTTCACATCAACTGTAACAAGTAGCATGATGTTGAAAGGTGTACATTGAAACATGAAATAAAAATAGAAACCAACTCAGCAGCAGACGTAAACATAGGAATAAAGTGTTGACCAGCATATTAGGTGACACACTGAAAATTACCTGAATCTCTAAATTACGAACTGGTTCATTGTTTTTGTCCCTTTGTCCAGGAGGTGGCAAATCCCGCTCCCTACGAATTCCTCGAGGAGTTCCAGGCGCTACTCTTCTAGGTGTATCCATATCTGTACCAAGATCAGATCCTGCATCCTCGACTGCATGGCTGCCTGAACCTGACGCCAAAATTGTCTTTTCCGCTTGCGCAGTCTGTCGTTCCAAATCCAACATGTTAACTCATCAGAGCATATTCTCGACTGTGCTTGACTATTGAAACTACTTCCGCATAAAACTACTACACAGAGTTATCCCTTCATAAAAAGTGTGAAAGGGAAAACCTGCAGAGCAACTTCCAGGTCCCCAAGCTGCTTCGACAGTCGCTCTCTCTCTTCAGAGAGCTCTGCTCTTGTTTGCTCCTCTGCACGCAATGAATCACGTAGTCCGGCTAATTCTTCCATCACCTGTGTTTCTCTTTTCTCTTTTAAACGAAGCTCTTCTGCAAGCTGCAAGTAGAAACAAAGAGAGCATTACAAATCCATAGGAATATCGTATCTGCTGTGTAGCTTAGCACAGTATCCAGACACCTAGCTTTAAAAATCATTGAAAAGCCTGGGTATAAAGGGATCTGCCTGATCAATTTTCTTCTGTGATTCTTCCAGTAACTTGGACATTTCCTGTACGTGTTTCTCGTACACTTCAATGCCTGGAGGCTTCTGAGTTGCCACTACGGCAGCAGCAGGTTCTGTCACTTGCGCCTGCCCATTGGGCACATTGCGTGTTCTTGAATACCTCCTCAACATTACGTCATTTATATGTGTTTGCAGAGCGACACATATGTCCTCTCCCTGTTTCAAAGGGATTTTACATTAAATTGTTGACTCATAACTAAAATTAAATCCACACCGCAGAAGCTTGAGTATGACCATAGACATTAAGAATAGATACCTGCTTTGTTTCGAACTGAAAAATATGTAGGACTCCAGCGACTCGCATTTTAAAAAATACAGCAGTGTTACTACTGCCAAACTGCATGATATCTCGCAACTCTGCAGAGTGTAGATACTCCTTTGGAACCGGTCTAAAAAAGTGCACCTGCCAAGAGTGAAAATAGAAAAAAACAAAGTGAGAATGGAATAGAAAAAATCAGACTACAAGTTACAGAAGACGTGTAGTCTGCTTAACATGACACAAAGCTCTAAAAACACGAAGACCATGCAAACTGACTTGATAATAAGGAATTGCGAAACTCAGCAAAGCTAACCCACTTAGCTACAGGTCCATGAAACTTACTCCTCGCTTGTTTATGCCGAGGATAATCCTCCCGGGCAATAAGCCTATAGGGTCTTCAATTCTTCGCACACTAAAAAAGACAGAATTACCATACGGTAATGAACGTAGCATTCGAAGAAGTTGTTGCTTCGCATCATCCTTGGAAAAATGTGCCTAAGTTTAAATAGCAGAGTATCCCATACCAATGATCAATGCACCGGCTGTTAGGTAACAGCTCAAAGTTTATCCCGCAACATCGGAAGAATTCACAGGAAAGTGGATACTGAAATATATATATTAATGAAATATTTAAAATCTCTGTGTCGGATTCTCATGGTTCCAAAGGATGCAAGGTAGAGTGCTCACCAACGCCCGATACCGGCTCAGTATGTCCTGATCCCAATCACGCTTATTACGAGTTGCGGCTACCTGCTTGGGCAGATAACAATCTAGCATGGAATTCCACTCCCTGCAGAGACCAAAACTAAGTCACACTTTAGTATAGCCCATCTTAGGCGTATACTGCAGATAAGATATTCAGCGAATACCCTCTAAATACAACTAGTTGGCATCCAAAACAACAAAATCTTTCGTAAATCTTACATTGTTCATCAAGAACCACTATGTCCTAACCTGCTCACCGCTCAAGAAAGCATGATCGGGGCAACAATATCAAAACTTACGCGCTTGTTTCAGGATTGGGTATGCTTCCAAGGTCTGCTATTGTCTGTAGTGCAGCCAACTGTGCTGCATCTTCCCTACCAACAGGGTAATTTCCTAGAAGAAAATCATGTTGGGACTGTAGAGAATCACCCAATTCATAAGAATCATAAGCTTATTCCAGTTTGATATGCACTGCAACAATAAATGAGATACTGATACATGAAGGTCCAAGCAACAGAACATACCTGGATATAGCACAACTGTACGAACATGGGCTCTGTGATGGCCTCATCAGATTCTCGAAAAAGCCGTTTCTTAAACAGCAGCTTACTCTGAAAAAGCTCACCCTTGCTACGATCTCGTGACAACTTGAACTCTGCCACAATATCTCCGATGTACTTATTATCATCCAAGCCTATATGCTCCTCTGCAAGCCCCATTTGAAAAGATGAAACGCGTGTTAAAAACAAAAAAGTAACGTAAAAGCAAAAAGTAAAATAAATTTATAAAATTATTAAAATTATTAAAAAACATATAATAACATATAATAAAACATGCAAAAAAAAACATACAAAAATTAATACAACAATCCATGTCGATCCATCAGTGAACAATCCCAATCGTCCTTATATTCCAGACCAGGCTGGATTAATTGTATATAGATTCAAACCAGGCTATAAGTCCAAAACTGTTTCAACAGACGGGAGATTACATGTACATACCAATTGCGGCATCAACTGCTCTCGACCCATTCAAACTTTTCCGACATTCGAAAAGACTGAAAGTATGGAAAGAAGATAATTTGATAATGCCTGCCAATTCCTGAAAAAGAGCAAACAACTCCTAGTCAATTCCGGGTCATTTTTTATCAGGCATTAAGTAAAAGCAATAGTTCAAACCATACGCTTCCATCCAAGAATGTGTACAGAATACTATTGACGCACAAAATCGAGTTTCAAATGCAATGGATGATGAACACCAAAGACTTCGTTGGCACAGCCATCAGTAAACTTTACGCTTCGTCAACAACCAGTAAGTACGTACTTTACAAAACAAAAATTGCAATAACTCCACTATGGTTTTAAGGCCTTTCCTTCCAAGAACTACAGATAAAAGGGGTCACTAAAACAAGAAAACTTCGAAAAAACCGAGTTTCTCTACCTCGACAGCATCTGAAACAGTTGTTGACATGTCGTAGGTAATGTCTTCAAATGTCTCATCCAAGAAGAAGGCAATGGTAGTCAATTTACGCCCTTCTAATAAAGCCTCAATCTCCTCTTGAGTTGGGTCTACCCGCCGAGGGCCTCCCTTAACGGATCGCTTCAACGCTTCCCCTGTGTTCAAAGCAAGCGCTTGTACGGAACTATCCACTCCAGGTGAGTTGGCTACATCATGTACATATTCTGATAAATATGCACCAAATTCCTTGCCTGGAGGCATTGCTGAAGAGCACATGTATAATAGTTCCCATGTTTTCAGCAGGCTTGTCCTATCAAAATACAAAAATTATATATCAGTATCGATTTATGCGTGTTGTTGTCGCACCCTTGTCAACCATGACCTCTGCAACATTCACTGTTATGAAAGCTACGACCCAATCCGTTCTGAAATATTGAAAACACTCCAGATCACCAAAACGTAAAAATGTGTCCGCCATTATTCGACTAATCGATTCCGTAACCCATAGACTTACACCCACCTATCCGAATTGTTGCGTGTCTGTTTCACCAACTGTGCAAACAGTTCATCACGAAGCTCGGATCTTTTCAAAGTGTGTTTGTACAGCTTCTTAAGAAGTTCAATCTGCTCTTGTCCAGTTGGTGGACTTGAAGGCCCTCCCTCTGGTACACCAATGTACTTAAGAAGGACCTGCAAGCGAAGAAAGCAAGAAACAATATTACAAAAAGGAGGAATAGCTCTATTGGAAAGAAATATTACGAGAAATCTGGTTCTGCAATACATCAGCCTCTAATGCATTATTTATGGTCGTCGAAAAAGTACCTGGAAAAGTTTCACGGCGCGACTCACAAGATCTGCATTTATGCGCAAGAGAGACGTGGGGATCGGCTCCTGAAAGGATCAGTTTTCCGTCAGCAATTCCGACACAGGATATAGTGAAACACTCGAATGCACTATCATGAAAAGTTAATGAGAAGCTATACCCGCTGGAAACAAAGCATATCTTCAACGGTATACTTGTCGCGGTTTTGAGGAGCTACAGCCCTTTTCCCAAAGAATGACCTTTTACCCCCACTCTGCAACTGTCTGTGCATGGCTTTAAGGAAAGCTTCCACCTGGATGGCGTAGAAACTATTAGCATTGATAGAATAACAGTAAATCCTGGAATTACAGAATTAAACCCCAATTTGAGCTCCACATGGCCACATTACAAAACTTCGACCAGCACAATCAGACTGTGAAATACATGGATCAGAAAACGATGAAAAAAATGAAGACATTGCTATCCATATTACCTGATACTTCTCTAGAATCTGAGAACCCCCTGCCGACTCCGGAGCCACGGAGGCCGACAATGTACTGGGCCTGTACAGACGTAAAACCATCTCATAAGGCAAAGCTTTAAGTACCAAGCCTAAAGACAATTGATTACAAGAAAGAAAACGTCGGCCACTGCTAAGATCCGCGATATTTCGAGCAGTGTCTAAGTTAAGTCATATACACCGAAGTAAATTCAAAGGTACCAGGTAGGCATTGAAAACTATTACTTGACATCCCCAACAATGTGAAGTAAAATTATCATCGTCCCATCGCGTTCATCACATGTGGGAAAGTAATATGTAAATCCAATGACTTTTACTATCACAGTAGTTCTGCGAGGGCAAAGAGAATCACGAAGTTTCTGCTCATAGATCTATGCCACATTTCATGTAGTAGAAAAGCCCTTCCACATTGTGCCAGCAATTCAGGAGAAGATCGACTCATTACATCTCACAGTACCCTCGTTCAAAAACTACAATGTGAGGTACGCAAGCCATTCGAATTTGCTGCGTTGTTACAGAGGGGTGTTTGTGAGCTGCATTTACCAAGGTGAGGGAACATGTGTTCGTTTATAGGAAAGGGGAGGACTAGTTACCCTCCACTCATATCTTTGGAGTCTTCGATTTGATCTCCTTGCTGCATGTAACTTCGGAATGGACTAGGATAGGAACTTCTACTACTTACACCACTACCACCGAAACAAGCATCTAAATACAATGCAATGCCACATCATAACAAACAGAGGATTAAATTTTCAAAAAGTGTCTCGAGCATGAGGCAGATTAGAACAACTGGTTTAAAAAGAAAGAATGCGTACGAGCTATTGTCGCTGTCCAAGTCGGGTTCATCAACACTTGGAGGCACCCTAATTGGAGTCCCATTAATAGAGCTGGGAGGTCGCCTGCTCCTGATATACTCCACTCTCACATCGTTGACATGGGATGCATCCGAGGCCATTTTATTCTCCGCCAAATCCACCCAAATTCCTACTCGACCACAGGACCTCGTCTGTTTCGCTCCCTAATTGGACTGCCCTCGAATGTCATATAACTAGCAGTCGTCTCTCCGCCACATATTTAAATCTCCAATATCCCAGGTCTCCACAAAACACTATAATGTGAAAGCCCTAAAACACACTAGCAAAGAAACAATGCCAGGATCCGATGCACTCGCGCTCCACTCCCGGAGCCCAGCAAGCAAAGAATCTGTAAGCCACGGAGCCTTTCCCAATGCAAGAAGATGCGTTGTATTTGCCAACTACAGAGGCCAAACCAGACGGCAACCCGCCTTCTTTTTTCCCACCCTGCATTCAAAATACCATCAGCACAATCAACCATTCAAACAGGAAAAAGACTCCACAGCTCCTGGTTCCCATAACCACACCGAGATCCACCACCTCTCTCCCCTCCAACCTCGGATCCACGCCCGATCCAAAAACCCACCTCAAATCCTCTCCAAACTTACCAAACCCACCGATCTACTCGCCTCCACCTCCCGTCTCCTACTCTAATACCCAACCACCTGCACCAAATTACCATCCCCGGCACAATGCCACCTCCCTCTCCCTCTCCCTCTCTCTCGCTCTCTCTCAGTCACCACTCACTGCTCACGTCGCACGCTTCGCTCTTCCTTCCTTCTCACTCTCTCGCAGCAATGCAATCGGCATCACATCCCACACGACGAGTGACAGCGTGGTGTACTCAAAGGGTCTGTCGTCCCAGGTGATGATTGTTAGCTTGCCATGCGTGCCCGCGCAAGCACAAAAGTCAAAAAAAACCGCACACGAATCCTCCTAGAGTGGGATATGGGGCGAATTCAAAGTGTGTGTGGAAGGGATTTCTATGTAAGACATTGGGTTTCGCAGCGAGGAAGGGATCCAACAAGTCCACGTTACGAGCCCAGCCAAGCCCTGCCAAGCCAAGCCAAGCTTAAGCTTAAGCACGCGAGGCCTCGCCCTGGAGCAGCGAGGATGCTGGGACTCTGGGTTGGAGCCTCCTTAACCAGCGGGCCTTTTGCCTATTTCCGGCTATGATATTTACTTTTCCGTTTCCTCGCATTACTTTTTTCGCTGGTTACTTTTACGCGATCGCTCGGGACTTTTCAATGGACATACGTGGATGGATGGACGTGTGGATGGATGTGAGAGTGGGTAGATGGATGGGTCCGTTGTGTTGGATGACTATTCTTCGTGGATGATCTTTATTGGGGATGTTCGAATGTAGACATTATGGTGGAATCATGATTTATTATCTTTTTATTTTATATCATTTTATTTGATTTAAAAAAAAAAAAAAAAAATCAGAAGAAGAGGGGCTCGATTAAATTGTGGATTGCATGGAGAAGCCTTAAAACCTTTCCCTTATATAATAAATAAATAAATAAATAAGAATATTTTTTGATTAAGTAAAATAATCATGATATTTTTGTGTGTATGTACAGACACTTGAAGTGACATATAGTTTTCACGTATTGTACACAAATGAATTTTTAAAACTATTATTGTAATTCATATGGATAGTGCAACACTCTTAACGTATACATTGATAAAAGTTTTTAAATATTATAAATTTTGCATTGGTTTAAAAAATATCTTTGATCTCCTATCATTAGTATTAGTATAATATTAATTACGGTAGAATTACAAAGAAATCACCAATAGTTGGTATTGTAGGTACTCTTGAAGACTTGCAAAATAAATAAACTATTTGTTCACCAAAGATAAAAATAAAATAAAAAAGGTTCACATGATGTTCATAGTTCTAATATAAATATTTTGATTCAAAATCTTAAAATCCCATATGGATCTAAAAATATGTTTTTTGTGTGGTATTAATTGTTATATTTAATAATAAAAAAAATACTATGTATATAAGGAAAAATGTGTATAGCATTAGCAATATTAACAATTCAACATGTATTTCAAACATTTTGACATTAAAAATTCAATTTTGACACTGAATTTGATAAATGCAATATTTTCTGCTTAACATTTATATTAATTCAATTGAAATATGATATTCATACAAATCTAGATCATAAAGATAAAATGATATAGATTGTGGTTTAGACATGGATTGGGCTCAACCATAGAACTCTAATGATTTGGACTTTGCATTGTTAACAGTAAGATAATGCCATGGTCCCATAATGGTTATTATTATATATATATATATATATATATATATATATATAAAAATTGGTACATATTTTTTGGAACATGCTTCAATTTTTTAGCTGGAGAATACTTATCATTATGTTGGTATAATTATTTTATTTTATTCACAATAAAAAATAGGAAGATGAAGACATTATTACAATAGAATAGATGATTATTGATATTTAACCTATGAATTAATATTTTTTTATTAATGGAGTTTATTTTGAATTACGAATTCTAAAAAAATAAAAATAAAAATAAAAACTTCTAAATTTTTGTTTAATTAAATAAAGAATGATATGATTTAACTTAACTCAGAAGCTGATGGTCCTGGAAAATTGATATTTGTTGTTCAAAAACTCATCAAAGAATATATGCTACTAAAAAATACCTTCAAGAGATTTAAAAGAATTAAATGATATTTCTAATAAAAAAAATTTTTAGTGTTCTTAGAGAAGCCAGAGGTGTACCAAGTCCCACACAGTATACCATAGAAGATGTACTTAGTTCCTCTCACTACCATGAATTATTATTGAAATGTTTAAAAAGAATGATGTGGCTTCTAATAAAGTTTGTTGCTAGCGATTCTTACATCGATAAGGATGTATGGAATTTTTAGAAAAAATATGAATAAAATATTTTATTTCATCATTATAATGTTGAAAATAGTCTTAAAATAAATTTAAAAATGTTATAAAACTATTGTAAATATAAGAAAATGTTAAATGAACCCACCATTTTATTAAATTGATCCATAATTTTATTAAATCAACCCATCTACTTAAGAAATCTATGAATGTGTGCCCAATTTCATTGTTTTAAGAGTGTGTGTTTCATAGTTTGTTGTGGTGTAGGTGCTTTGCAGGCTCCACTTTTGTATCTTTGCTTGATTTGCAAGAGGGTGTTGGATTCTTCGTATGTGATTCTTGTTCAAATGAATCAATTTAGTAAAAGGGTGGATTGATTTAACAATTTTCTAAATAGATATACATATAATATTATAATAGTTACATCTTTAAGTTTTCTCAAATTACAAAATAAAGTGGTATTGATATAAAACCTTAAACATTTGTAATTTCTTTTACTCAATTTTATATATGTTTATTCGATAACATTTTAAAAATAAGATATTATAATGTTCTAAACAAAATCACAAAACTTGGAGATTAATTTTTTAATTATATATTATGTATTTATTTGATTTAATAGTAACTTAATTTTTTTATAATATTAACAGCACAATTTATTATATTATGGTTAATCCACTTCAAAATACATTTTAAATGACCATCTTGAGGACTGGAATGCACAATTAAGTTAGAACATTTAAAACCATGAAATGTGACATTAAATCTCATATGACTCTATTAGAGTGACTTTGCCTCTCATCCAGAGTTGTGAATATATATATATATATATATATATATATATATAATTAAATAAATGTGGAAATATGAATAATTTAACTAATTCATGAATGTGAGCAAATGTGATTAAATATATCAAATTTACCTACAAATTTCGTATTTAAAAATTAAATAAAATGGATGACTTTTCCTTTCTTTGTAAATATTTTGACAAGAGATTGGAACCAAGAATAGTCCAAAGTATTGTGGTGGGCTTGGATTGTATTTCATTTACAAATAACAATATATCTATATATATACACAACATCACCTCTACTAAGTTATGGGGTCAATTTGCATCCTAAGATAGAATTTATGAGGGATTATAACTTAACAAGGGATACTTTAGCACCATACAACCATGATGGTTCCACTTTTTTCCATATCTTTGCAAAGGTTACAACTTAGTAGGGGATAGCTTAATGAAGGTGATAGTGTATATATATATATATATATTTACATACAAGTAAAGAAAAAAGGAACTCCATCCCTCCTTAGCTATGGTTGGCACCAGAACGCACAGAGGTTGGAACCATGGTGCGATATTCAATAATAAAGTTTTAGGGTGTAGAAATTATGATTTATTCGTCAAAAATTTAAAAATTAAAATAACGAAAAAACAGGACCCGGAGGTCACAGTCAAACTAACTTATAGGCTGAGGAACCTAGTGTCATGGAATCCAGGCATGAAATCTAATGCAGACTTTTGATGTTGGTGTTCCAGCTGAATGGATCATATTCAGTCCAATACAAAAGGCTTTTGTTTGAATAAATGCTTACGACAAAATGGCAGAGGCATTGAATGATTGGCCACAGTGCAGGGATAATCTCCTGAGCAACAACCAATCATGGGACAACTTATCTCATTCCGTGCTGAACTCTGATGAACAGTCAGCTTCAGGTAGAAGAAACCAGCCAAAGATGTGTCGGTGTAAGGATTGAAGGCATGTGGAGGAGGAGCTGCTGTATCTAGCCTCCAGATCCCAGATTAAGACGACAAAAATGTACAGATCTACTTACATGCTCTCAGTTCTCAGTTTCGAATATGCATCTGAGAGCGTTTCACTAGAATCGGTGAAGTTTTATGGCTTTTGCAGCAACCAAGCTGGTGATGAGTTAGATGTTGTTTGCACTTGTGTTCAACTTGGTCTGCCACTACAACGGGGTTTATTGATCCGCAGAATCCAGCACGATACATGGTTTCCTAACTCAACCCTAGAGAATGTGCCCACTGAATCTGGTATTCCCTTGATTGTTTTGCACTAGTTGAGGTAACCCACTTGAAGATTCCTACACCAACTGAGCAAGAGTGATCACATCTTGCTCAGCACAGAATAGCCAATGGCGATCCCCAAAAATGTTGCAATGGCAATTCCGAAAATACCAATGAGGATGGACGGAACCAGTAGAGACCTCCAACCCTTAGCTGTAGCCATACCGCCTGCTGTTGTAGGACCGCCTACGTTTGCGTTTGATGCCAGCAGAATTTCGCGCATTTCAAACTTGAAAAACCTCCCAACTCCAATTACGATACCTAGATGGACAGCAATTTGAGCTAAACTGAAGAAGAACAGAGCTGGTGCTGTCTCGATCACGTTTCGCACACTGCCATTGGCACCCACAGTGGCAAAAAAAATCTGCACAAAGGAAGAGATAAAAAATCAAGAAGCCAATCAAAGGTTCACTACCTGAAGACGTTATGGGTATGCAATGAAGCGACTTTGAAAAGCTTCTAGTCATTCTTATTCAAGTTTCCATCTTAGCAATGAGCAGAGAACATACCTGCATGAGAATGTTGGCAATACCCTCTCCAGAAGGAGCAAGAGAGCCAACCCAGGTTGGAAACATAGTGGCTAATGTGACAACAATGCCAGTAATGCACGCGATGCTTCCGCCTTGGAAGCCAAAGTGCTTTGCTACCGCCACTCCACCTGTGCAAATAGTGGCAGACAAGGCCAGTGCAATCGAACCTTCTAGCACTTGCACTTGGCCTCTCCCTTCCACAAACCCCTCGACTTTTCCTGAACGATCATGGAACTACTGGATAAGTAACACAGTTCTATACAGATAATAGATTCTCATGGTTGAATGAGATTGCTTGAACTGTGGTGTCATTTAAAAGCATTCTGGAACATAAAAGTCCGTTTGATTTGTAACTAAGGACTACCAACACCTAACCATGTTGTTCTGCTTGATGAAGTTTGATGTAGCTATCTTTGACGGAGATAGTCCTGAAATGTATAAAGATTGGTTTTAACATGAATACATACCTGAAGTTGATGCTTGTTCAGGAGGAATTTTTGATGCCAAGGCGAACAGAGTGGTGAAGTAGACTGCGCATATAAGATTATCTGCTGCCAGACCAGCTGCTACTATCGATGGAGACGCGCCTAGAGCTTCCGTCACAGCCACATAATTCACAGCTGCAGTACAGAAGAAGAATTCAATAAAATCCTATGTGCTGACCTCTCTAAATGTTGAGCACATTCATGCTGTTAAAAGCATGCCCTCGACCTTGCTCACTAGACTAAGGGAGAAGAGTGAACTTCCAATCGTGATAGAACAGGAAGTGAGAGTCTGACCTCCTCCAATATGACGACTCATTAATGCAGCACCAATCTTCCATCCATCAGGGCCCAAGGATTTCAGCGGAACCATCACCATAGCAGCAAGAGTGCCCAAAACAGTAGCCACTGCCAATTCATGGAATTACCACCAGCGTAAGCACGCCTAGTTACAGACCGGCTGCAACATAAGATGGCACATGGGAGACTTAACACAACAATCTGCGATGATCTCGTTGGGAATTTGTCAGGATCATGCCAAATTTATTTGAAATGAATTCCTCTAATCTCACGAGCCAAAAGTGAAGAAAATTGCCTGATCCGATGCAAAAAATACCAAGGAGACGACCAGTAGAGCCCAAGACTCGTCGCATATCTGCCCCAAAGAGGAGCAATGGCACAGCGAGGGGTAGAAGGAATTTGTTCACAATAACGTAAGCTGGTGCCTCCGATGCAATTATGCCTACGTTGCTCGCAAACAACCCAACCAGTGTGCTTACTAGTGCTCCACTTAGCGCACTTCCCCATTTCGTCTTCTCAGACCTTCACAAATATCATCAGAGGCAGTGTTGATAAATACCACTAAAGAGGCAGTAACACACTCTTCACAGAATCCATAGCCAAAAAAAAACTTGAAAACCTAGCCAAGATTTCGTTTGGGGGTTAGTCATTTAGCTCCTTGAAAGAGCTGAAAGCTACGGGAACATCACTTCGCGAACGATGCTTTATAACACACACGACTCATAATAAATTCTCGAACTCATTCTAGAATCTCATTGTGAAAGTTTTTCTTCATTTTTCTCCGAAGGTAATCACGACTAGATGCGTAAGAGCTTCAGGTAACGAAGGGCTGTAATTCACCAGAGCCCGAAAGCGCCAGCAGCAAGAAGCACAGTCCAAGTGCCCCACGAATCCGTGGCCGCAATCAGGGGGGTTGCCAGAGACGCACAAATCTGCCCTCTAGCTTTTCTCTCCTTGGTGAAGCCAGGGTTGCGTTCGGCAAAGGATCTCCCGCAAGGGACGCCGAGGAATTGATTTACAAGCAAAGAATGGTAAGTGCTGGAAGCAGACAATGAAGATGCGGTCCGATTCTTTAGAAACCCCACAGTGGGTGTATTTGTCGTCAAGTTGCTGGACAATCGAGGAAATGCATTGCAACGATGAACTGGATTGGAGATTAGCTTCCGGTGAAGGAGTGCCGTGGCGGACATGGTGAAAAGTTCGAGACCGCCTCAATATGGGGGAGTCTCACGCGAAGGCTCCTCCTCGAGGCCTTAATTCAGGAAACAAAAAGACTCACACTCCTCCTACGTCAACACATTCCCAAACCAAAGAGCACGGCCAACTACAAATAGTCACATATCGCTAAGACAATTAGCACTGCAAGATGATCTCAGCAATGTCCGCTAAGCTACGAAATGCTAACTTCCAAGCGATCTCTTGTGGAACATTTTACATGAAGAGAAAACAGAGAAACACAGTTCCTTTCGTAACCCGTCGCCTAGTCCAAAAAAGTGAAGAATAGAATTGAACCGAAAACCTCAAATGAGGAATGTCTCTTCACACTGACGAGTGAACATCTGTGGACCCAGTCTGCAATTCAAATGGAACTTGATAAAAGGTTCCTCTCCACTCAAGTTTCTTCAGGTGTAACCATGGGAATGTAACGCAGATCCGCAGTGTCACGCTTCAAAGTAACTTCCCCGCCACACCCACGTGACATTCCAAAAACAGGGGTTAGGTTTCTGGAAATAATTGTGATACTAGTTGTGCCATTGTTGTTCTGACTGGTATATCTATGAATTCAGTGTTTGTGAATCAGTTAGTGCAAATGCTGGTCGAAATTTCTCTCCTCTGATTCCTAGAGATTGGTTGCAAGATTACGAGTTGTCACAGCATGCGAGAATTTGATCGCCCTGTTCTGCGATTTTCTTCGTTGAGCAAAATCTGCTGCATGTAGATTGATTTTTATAATGGGATCTCGGGGTCCGTGTGGGAGGACTTGTGGGGCCATGGTGTGGTTGATGTGTGCAGTCACATATGTTTCGAGTATGGAGAGTTTCATTGTGTCAGCAAATAGTAGCGAATTTGTAGAAAGGGGTCCTGGAGAAGTAGTTGAAATTGGGGAGGGGAAAGGAAGTTTGGGATTCGAGGATTGGAGTAGAATTGTTGCAACTGAGCTGTTACTGAATTCGAGATACAGTTTAGGTGTTCAGCATTCTACTATGTCTTGCAAAGACCATAAATTATCAGTGGAAGGTCATGGTGATGAGCAGGTGCTTGAAGTTGTGGTGAAAGAAATGGAGCATCGTGCTGCGAGAGACAATCTACAAAAGTGGTTGACTCCCACCGACAAGTGGCATTTCATTATAGGTTACACTAACATGAGAGCTTTCAAACTGACTGATAGACTCACACAAGGGGCACGAGTCAATCATTTTCCCAATAGCAACAGCTCTTTGCAATTTTTCTTAACCTTCATCAGCACAGTGTCAGCGAAGGTGATGTGTAGTAAGCCAATTTTCCACGTGGTAGAGCCACTACTCCCTTATCTCAAAATTGAAGACCTGACCCTCGGTAAACTGATCAGAGACCACGAAGATGGTAACAAAGTGTCTGAAGAACTCCACGACGAGTTTCTTGGCCTAAAGGCAACCTTGGCTCACGGCGCTCTTACCATGCGTGAGGTTGAGATTCTTGCAGCTCGTTGGGCGATCGCACTTCAATTGGGGTCAAAGGACCCGTCACGTTTGCATCTTGAGCATACAGCCACGTTGCGCTATACAGATGGAGGAGGTCAGATTGGCATCGAGGTAAATGATGAGGAGGACAAAATGTTCACTGACGACATTTTATTCACGAAGTCTCAACATAGATCGAAAACGAATTCGGCACAAGCAAAAATGCAATCCGCTTCAACGATCCAGTGTGAATCAGAAGTGGGGACAGCAATTGTGTGCTCTCCAATCATCAAATCAGAGCTGAAGAATGCGGCACACTATATGGCAGCACACGCGGTGGTCCAACTGGTGGAGCTGAATCCTCGTTATGAAGTGTTCAACAAGTGGGCTAAGTATGTGACACAGGTTAGGCTTCCCAATTGTTAGAGAACAATAGTCTCTGCCTCTGTTGCTTTCCATTGATTCGGTTCACACTGAAACTTTGCTCTAACTCTAATTATGACCTGTTTTCTGATGACCTAAATGTCTGTTTTCCAGAGTGTAACTGGAAATCGTCTCACTATCTTTAACAATGGCTTGCTTGGTCAAGGAGAAGTGATAGCATGTGCTGATACAGGAATCGATATGGATGTAAGCCTTCATATTCCGCCTCGTGAGTGCGGACATGTAGCAAATGTAGCATATAGATATGATAAAGTAATTTTGGAGTTTGGTGTTAGTGTGTTGCAAGCTTACTCTCCAAGCTGTTGCGTTTGAGATGAACTTTTTGGGACCTTGGTCCATCTCATGTTCCGTTTCTCCATGTACAGCACTGCTTCTTCAAGGACAAGCATCGAGCTATCCCCTTCAATTCGGTCGATTTGCAAGCTCGTAAGGTTGTGCAATATGTGATGTCCTGGGGAGACAAAACTGACTTTGCTGAGGGCCATGGCACGCATGTAGTGGGTAGCATTGCCGGCGATACCGTTGAAGGTTCTCATGAGTTCGCTGGCATGGCTCCTGCCGCCAAAATTGGTGGGCTGATCTTGTTATTTGAAGTTCAATTGGTGAATTTTTATTAAAATTCAGAAATCACCATTGATAATAGCAATGATACTATGAAACCTGGGTAAAGTTCTGAGGATGCAGACATGGGTGGTCGGTACAGCATTTTTTGATCTGGGGAGTAACTCATCCAATCTCCAAGCTCCGGTTGAACTTGGAAGAGGCATCTTCAAGCATGGGTTCACTGCCGGAGCACGTATATTTTCGAATTCTTGGGGTGAGTACTGTCGGGCGTTGGTTTCCCACTTTTACCAGAAACATGTGTTATGAATCAACACTCCATCGATACTTATTTGTTATTCAACGAATGATGCACCGTGTATTGGTTGACTTTATCAGAAGTTCCCTTATGGTGTATCAACAGGTGTGGTGAGGCAAGGATATAGCTCGAATTCACATGACGTGGATTCATTTTCTTACTTGTAAGGTGAAGTTGCATTTTCTTCATTTTCTATCGATTAGAATTGGATCAGCCTTTCCTGCATTTCCAAGACATGAGATCAGTTCATATTTGATTGCAAATGGATCTAATTTGTTTTGGTTAACTACTGTCTCCAGCGGTGCAATATAAAAGGATAACCTTTAAATGCGGCCAAGATTGTGCAGTTAAATCTTCAAATAACGTAGAAACCCCGTTGCTCATTGGAGCACCTCAAATAAGTCTGTTTTTCGCGGAAGCAAGTTGATACACTTTGCTGTGGGTGCAGGAATGAAGACGTGCTGATTATCTTCGCGGTCGGTAATGAGGGTGTTCTTGGGAGAGGGACCGTAGCTATGCCTGCCAGTTCCAAAAATTGTCTTGCGGTATGTAAGCTTCTCCTGCAGCATTTTCTGCACTGTCACTGACGGTGTTGACTTCACTTGGACCTACTTAATGCATTTCGAATGAATGCGAAATGTGTTACAAGGTAGGGGCATCATTCAATGCGGCTGGAAGTATAGCATCGCTAAGACAGGGTTACTCGAGAAACCTCATGAAGCCCTCGATGGTGGCTCCCTTTTCGAGTGCTGGACCAACCATAGATGGGCGTATTAAGCCTGATGTCTTAGCTCCGTAACTTCCCTTATTCCACTCCCTTTCCTCTTTTTCGTTCTTTGAAACTCCTGACGTACACAACCAACCTTTCAATAGACTTGATAATAGACTTTTTACTTGTCCGTTTGAATTTTTTACAAATTGTCATGTAAGCAGCGTCTGATCGTTATACCATCCTGGGTTTGTTTCAAATTGATTCCTGCAGAGGCATGGTAGTGTGGTCTTCAGTGCCAGACTTCCAACATGGTCCTCCACAGAAAAACTGCCAAATTGGATCAAAGCAGGTGTGCAGAAGCTTTTTGGAAGCTTAACAATAAAACTTAGTTTTATCGAGTATGGCATTGTACGTCGCATGCGTGTATGTAGCTCTGGTATTCTTTCCACACGCAAGTAGTCTTGCTACAGCACGGCATCAAAAACCTTGCATGCTGCAGGGAACATCAAGCTCAACACCGTTGGTAGCGGGGTTGGCATCTTTGGTGCGCCAGTACTTCCGAGAAGGTTATTACCCATCAGGTGCGTTCAATACGATTTGTTCTCATGTGAGCTTTCTGAGCCAATGATTAGTCATAGGCTCAATCTTTGCCGAATGATTTGAAGATGTCATGTTGACGAGAGAAATGACTCGGATTATACAATCTGTTCAGGTAAGAAAAGTACAAAGGATGGCTTCATTCCATCAGGTGCATTGCTGAAAGCTATGATGATTCACAGGTTTGCTTCCTTTCCTAAACTGCACCAAAGTACACTCAAATTTGCACGCTTAAACAATCAATCAGTCATGCTCTAATAATACCTGTCAATACTCGTCTATATAGTATATGTGATCGTAATATTCAGAATAATTGATTTGTGGAAAGAGTAACTCCTTAAAGATTCTACACAGGCGTATAACCTTGTGCGTTTCCGAAACGAGTTCCAAATGCTAAAGATTGTTGATACTTGTCTATCCAGTGCTGTTCCAGAACAATTATATGTTAACTCCTCAGGCATGAATGATCTTCAACTTGCTCCGGACTATGTGCAAGGTATGTCTTTTGTTTTCTTTTTTTCTTTTTTCTTATCCTTCTTGCTTCTTCTTCTTCTACTCCTCGAGCATTGCGACACAGCTACCCCCTCAGGACATTTTCATCCATAATACACCGACAGTTCCAATGGTGTAATGACAGGATATGGACTAGTAGTACTGGAAAAAGTCTTGGTTTTTGCAAAGCCGAGTTCGAAGCATCAGCCTTCGCGTATGTTTGTTCAATCGGGACGGAAAGATGGGGCCGTGATCAAACATGGCAGTGTTCAGACTTTCACAATTAGAGTGACTTCCTCGAAAGAACCTCTAAGAGTGACAATGGTCCGCTTCTCGGTCATACTTACCATTGTATCAGTACACTTCTATGTATACCCACCACATTGCTTATTTGTTTCGGAAGACACATTTCATTTTTCGTAAAATGTCAACCTGTAGATTAGATAAAGTAAATTGCACCAGATTGCCTCTACTGGCCTTTCGTCCATATTCTCTGTCTTGCGACAATCTCCGTTGTATTGGTCTCCATGACGCAGGTTTGGATGGATCCTCCAGCCGCACCTAGTTCTCTGCATCCAATGGTCAACGACCTCAACCTTAAGGCCCAAGGTCCTGACAACAAAACCTTTCACCCGAATGGCTTGGATAAAGAGGACTCCATTAACAACGTGGAGGTCATTCATGGTAAGTCATTCTATATAGGATTAATAAATAGGAAGCGTGGTGGAGAGTTGAATAATAAAAGCATCTAGCCACAGGAATTATCAAATTTTCAGGGCTTAGAACACTGCATGGACATCAGTTCTTAATTCACAGGACATGTCGTGACTGGTTACCTGCGGCTTGTACCTTTTGACAGTGATGAAGCCAAAGAAAGGGATATGGAATATCACTGTGGAGGGAGCTAGGGTGGTGCTTCACAGACAGCCTTATACACTTGTTATAACTGGCCAGATGCACAGGCTGCAACTCTGCCAAAATTGTTATGATGGCAACCACGCTAATGCGTCAGCTGCGGGTCTGCGAAGAAGTTCTTACTGGAAATACATTTATTATTTATGGATATTTTTTAGAACGTTTTATATTCTGCCATTCTCCTTTTCTCTTTCCTAAAAAATTAGTTTCATGTACAACGATGTGAATGCAACTCTAGGTCACGCTTTTCGCTAAGGATACACTGAGTATGAACCTCTCATAATTGCTGCCGTTTCATTTGAAATGGAACTATGCAGACTGAGTGCAAATAAGCCTCAAGGGCGATGACAAAATTTATGATATATCTCAATGTGTACTGAAGTGTAAAAATCTAAAATTGCTTTTATTGATATATACGTGAAGTTCGAGGTTTCCATGCTGAAAGGCTTAAGATGCTCTAATCATAAGTGAGCAAGAATAACAACCACAAGTTTAAAAAAGGACAACTCGGTTCTGCGGTCGGAAAAAGTCGTGGAGTGGCTGCCTGTAGATTGCTCACCATCTCAAAGGTGATTGTATAGATGATGATCAAAAGCAAAAGACCGGTGCTCCTGTCAATAATTAGATAAATGTTAGAAGGATCAACGACAGGCCAACATCGATAAAAAAGAAATCATGACACAGAATTCTTAAACTCAAGGTTTAAAATAAGTAGGTACCACTACAAGCAGAGTGCAAGACTTAAAAACAAGCAGGAAAAGAGTGATCCACAAACCTAGATTTCCTAAGCTGCAACTGGAGTGCTCCTAATACTGTGGTTTTTGATTGCTTCAACTAGCTCAACTTGAATCTCTGAATCCGTCTGCACACCCATTGAAAATACTCTTGATGAGTAGTTCACATGGAACTGGAAATGACTTGCCATGAATATGCTAGCCAACACCATTATTGAGTCTGATGGATTTCTAATCAGAAAAGGAGAGATACACAAGCATTTTGTGGACACTGCCGCAACATTCATCACTTGTAGTATTAGATATCGTCATCTTATTAACCCTCAAAGCAAGAGAAGTTAATGCAAACGACTAATCGACAGAAAAAGAGCTGTAGATCAAGGTGAAGTATTAACCTGCTTGAAATGCTTGAAGAGTGGTTTAATCGATTCAAACACTTCACTTGGGGTTTTGGTTGCATCAATCTGGGGAAAAGGGACGGAAGAACAATCAGAATAACGAGAACCAAATACTCATCAGGAAAGAGTTAACATCATTCCACCGATTAATAAACAGGGACGTGAAAAACTAAAAATATAGTAGTTCAGTATCGACATAATAGCATTCCACTTCTGCTCTATCTCACATGTATCTTCTTTGAATATATGCAGGTCAATTTTGTATAAAATCTGCGATGGAAACTTTACCTTGTGAACCTTGCCGCATTCTTCGTAGTGGCCCACAACCGGTAGGCTAGAATCAATGAAAACCTTAAACCTCTTGCGGATAGTCTCAATATTATCATCAACTCGACCCTGAGAAGGATCCTTGATGTTAATACATAAATGAATTCTTAATACAATTCTACGCTACTTACGCATCCACGGGCAATATACCCACTCAAATCCAGAAGTCAGCGGTGTATGCTTGCGATTAAAATAGCTCAAAAATGATTGAAACACACACTTAGAGATGTAAGGTAAGAAGTTCCGACCTGGTTGCGACCCAAAAGACGTCTCTCCATTTCGTCCTCCGGGCAGTCAAAGAATAGAATAAACTGCGGCTCGATGCCAGTCTGCAATTACAGTAACAGAAAGCCTTAAGTTCAGATCGGAAACAAACGTCAGCTATTTCTGAGACAGCACTTCGACCTCCGAAACCACGAATTCCAAATGTCCTGACACGTATATTCTGGTGAAAACATACTATTGAAACAGATTGTCCAACTGTTTTAAAGTTCGGATCAAAGCTATTAACTGAGTGGTAAACCATTGTTCCCCGAAGTCTATTTTCACGTCCGACTGTTAATCAACTGCATTGCCTCTGCTTACCACTTCGTCAAAGCACTTGCGGTTATCTAAGTTGCGGGGGAACCCATCAATGAGAAACTTGTCATTGTCACTCTCCTTCATAGCCTTTTCAAGAAGCTTTACAGTCACTTCTGCGGGGACTATCTTGCCCTCCTTGATCATGTTTTGAATCATTGTTCTGCGACAGTCACGTATTCAAGTGAGCACACGAGCAGCTGCGGGGTTCCAACTATAAAGGTCATTTAAGAAGAAATTGCGCCATGAACTTCCAAGATGGAGAGACATCAGAAATGTAGTGAGACGTTGATGCAACAAGGGCCAAGCGAAATTCGAACGAATGGATCACTCTAAATACATAGTTGAGGAGCAAATAGCCGAAGCTTCATGAGCAAATGTAGCGTATCCACTTACGTTACGAACTTACCCGTTTTCATTTCCAGAGTTGATTTCAGCTCTCAACAAGTCCCCCGCACTTAGGTGTACAAATCCAAAGGTATCAACAATCTTGGCACACTGTGTGCCCTTCCCACTGCCAGGTCCACCTGCATTCCAAAATCACGCGATGTACTAGTCATTGTTTGTTTGCATGAAAACAGATTATACAAAAAACAGAGAAACATGGCCACCCCAGCTAATATTACTGAATTTTTGTCAAGTATATATCTCTGTTTGACAAATACTCGGGACGCATCAAGCCCAAGATATCAACGAAAACGGATTCATGCAGGTGAAAATCACCGGACGACAATTCTCAGCCCAGGTACGGTTTATTGCAAAGCAGGAGCAATGAGCTTAAAAAAGCGAAGACGGTGCAAAGTCCCCAAAACTACCAAACCACACATACCCAAGACAAAGACAACTTTCAAGTCTTTGACAGGACTGCGCTTTGCGGCCACCCCGTTCTCCATGGCCACACTCTCCAGCACCGTATCCACAGATCCAGGCTCAACCTTGTCACCAACAGCGTGCACCTCGTTTGACATTGTCTTGAAATCTAAACCCACTGTCCAAATCCAAATCCACAAACAATGAGCCCAAAACACACAAACTCAACCTCTAAAAAAATCCTTAGAAGTCCTCTAACATCCTTGAAACTCCACCCAGCTGAGATCCGCGCCGAACTCTCTCGCCCCAATGTGGCAAACGAGGCAACCAAAAGAAATCACCGCCACCAACCTGACCAAACGGCGCACAGAGGAGTTGTGAGAGATCTAGGCACTGGGTGACACGTGAGACACAGGGAGACGCAGGAATCGGCAGCGAGCTCGCAGCAAGCGCGTGACTGGATTAAACACGCAGAAATTCTTCGTGCCCAGTGATTGAGAAGCGATTATATGAGTGCGAGAGAGAAAGAGAGCTCGCACGTCGCGTGAGGGGCCTCCAGTAAGGTGATTTCGTCGCCGTGTGTTGCGATCGTGCACCATATTTCCCGAGGATCCAAGTGTGCCGGCTTTGTGGGTCGACGAACTATCGCCTGAAAAGTAATTACAGCACAGAAAATTCATAAAAAAGTTGGAAAAATCGATTGTGCTCGTGCAGATTTCGGGAAGCGGGGCTCGAATCGGGCTCCGCGTCTGGAGAGTCAGAGCGCCCGTCTCCTGATCCCGTGGATCTTCCGCGTTCGGGCTTCAGTGACCGTTTTCGGGTAGACCTGTGGCCGTGCGAAGGTTGTTCTTTTATATAATTGGTGTAACGTTACAACGCCATTTGAATATAATCTTTTTAACACGTTTGAATACATTTTATTTTTAGGTTATTTTTATTTAAAATAATATATTTAAGAAATTTTGTGATATATATAATAAAATCTAATAAATTATTTAATTATAATATTAAAAAAATAACTAAAAATTATATAGACTTTTCTAATTTATAACATCATAATAAGTATCAAATAAAATAATAAAAAAAATATTATATATATATATATATATATATAATATTATAGTACTTGTAATTTTTGTTGTATGGTTTTTAAACTTAAAAGAAAAAAATTATAATAAATTTTAAGTATTTTTAGTAAAATAAAGAATAAAAAATAAAAAAATATTAAAATATTTTTTAAAATTTTTAAGAAAAAAAATTTGCATTGAGATGGTCAACAATAGCTAGAATTATTTAGTAAAATACAAATTATTTTTTGAGGATTTTTAACTTGTGAACATCTTCTCTTAGAATCAAATGGAGATCCTAAAAGGTATAGTCATCATGGGACATAAAAGAATGTGTGTTTTGACTAGCAAAGAAATGCACTGGCATGCATTGCTTCTAAAGATATCCAAATTTAGAAGCTATAACATATGATTAATAGATTTTTTTTTTTTTTTTTTTTTTTTTTCTTTTCATGCCAATATTATTTTTTTATTATTATATCATCTATTTCATAATGTTTTTATACCATCAATGTATCTTTTTAATTTGAGCCATTTTTAATTTTAAAGAAGAACAAATCAATTAATTATAATTTCATGCTTTAATTTTTAAAATATTATTTTAAAAAAAATACTTTTGAACTAACTTTTAGATTTTTAATATTGATTTTTTTCTTAAAGAAAGTGAATTATCATTTTTTGTGAAAATTTTTATTTAGTATTAGAAGTTGTAAATTACCTTTCTCTAATTTTGACTTGTAGATTTATTTGAATATGTCTATAGAAGGGATAATTATAGATGCTACTTTTGGCAAAAATGAAAATAAATTTGCAACTATTACAATTCTTTACAAAATTGTGAATATTTTAAGGATAAAAATCTCATGTATTTTCTAATGTCAATCATGGAGATAGTATTCTAACATCTATAGAAGAAATTAACAATAAAGTTCAAAGTCTATGCCAAAAAGTTGTGCAATTAAGAGAAGCAAATAGACTAAATTCATAATTGAATCTAAGAAGTCTTGTTACTGCAAGTATAAAAGAGATTAAGATCAATATGCTATAGAAGTTTGATGGAAAGAGATTCTTATAATAAGTAAAGCTCTATCTAAGGTTGTTTCCTTTTCAATACCTTGATGGATTTACTTAACTTAGATTCATAAGTGCACTTTTTTTAAGAAGTGATTTTTTAAAAAAAATTTCACCTTCGATAGAAAAAGATTCACGTCTCCTCTATGATTTGAATTTATTCTTAAAGGTGTTTATAACTACTTTTAAAAAAATAATTGAGAAAAGGTAGTAAAGACCAAACTCATATTTTTATGATAAAAATAACATTTAGCTACCATATATCCAATATAATTCTAAAACTTTGCTTACAACATCGATTGGAATGATAAAATCCTTAAGAATCAATTTTGAAATGGATTAAAAGATAATGTCAAAGATTTATTATTGACAATGCTAAGAGTAGTTTTATTTGAGCAATTTATTGCTTAAGCCATTCTATGCAACAATTGACTATTTGAAAGACACCAAAAATAAAGATTTGGTTGGAGAGATACAAATCAAGTCATGACAATATCTTCTAAGTTTTTAGAAGCTTATTCATCTAGGCAAGAGCCTACACAAATTGATATAATATATTTCAAACATCTTACTAAGTAAGAAAAGACCAAACGTCATGAAGAAAGATTATGCTTATATTGTGGAAAATCCAAATATATTACTTAATATTGTCCAAAGAAGCAATATAATCACAAAATAAAAAACATGGTTGCTAATAAAGATGATATGTGAAAAAATAAATTTCTCCAATTATAATAGGAACCATGCAGTTGAAATCTTGTGTAATTTCTAATAAATGTTATATTTTCTCTTTAAATCCCTCACCTTATTTTATGGTAGAAGTTTATTTAGGATAAAAAAATCAAAAAGTCTTTGTCTTATTAGATTCAAGAGTCTCAGTCTATTTATTGACAAAGACTTTATTAAAAAATAATAAATATTCTTAATCAAGAAAATCAAATCTATATATATAGAAGTAATAGATAGTTTTTTGTTGTCTTTTAGAGATTTTATCTATGAAATTACTTCTTTAGATGTAATAATTAATGGTTACAATAATTTAATAATATTTAATAAGATTAAATCTCCTTTCAACTCAATTATTTTTGAATTATTGTAATTAGAAAAATATAATCTTTAAATAGATTGAATTTTTTTTAATATTGATTTTTTTTTCTTAGTTTAATCCAAGATTTTGTTAGTCAAATAAAAACTCATAAGTCCAATACAAAAAAATCTTTAGTAGTTGGTATAAGAGCTTTCATACATGTTGCAAAAAAAATGTCATCTTTTGCCATATATGCCATATCTATTTTTGATAGTAAAAAGATTTTAAGAGATATTCTAAATTAGTATTTAGATTATTAAAATGTTCTTGAAAAAAAGAATGTAAATATTTTTTCAAAGTATTATCTCTATGATTGTTCAATTAATCTTCAAGAAGAAATTCAACCACCATTTTGACCAATTTATAGCTTATTGCAAAAAAAGTTGATTGTATTCAATGAATACATTAAAAAAAACTTGGCTAAATACTTTTTATAACATTTAAAATCTTTAATAGGAGATTTTATCTTATTTGTAAAGAAGGAAGATGGATCATTATGGATGTATGGAGAATTTTGAGGATTCAAAAAAATCACCATAAAAAATAGATATCTTTTATCTTTAATTTTAAAGCTTTTTAATTAACTTAATCAAACAAAGATCTATACAAAAATAGATTTATGATGAATATATAACTTGATACATATCAAAATAAGAAATGAATTGAAGATTATGTTTCAAACCAAGTATAGGCATTTCAAATATAATGTTATGCCTTCTAGACTCATAAATACTTAAGCTACTTTTTAACATCCAATAAATGATGTTTTTTTGAGAGTTTCTTAATTATTTTGTCATTTACTATTTAGATATCATCTTAATCCATTTCAAAAATATAAAAGAGTATGAACTTTAAATTTTTCATGTATTATAAAAACTTAGAGATACAAGATTATATGCTTAGATAGAAAAGTATATATTTCATACTACTTAAGTTGACTTCTTATGATAGATTATTTTAAATGATGGTCTCTTGATGGATTCTAAGAATGTCTAAACTAGTATAGATTTGAAAGTTTCAAAAAAAAAAAAAAAAATGTAATATTTTTTTGAGATTTTTTAATTACTATTAAACCTTCTTTAATTTTTATTTTAAAGTTTTGGCTCCTATTACATGTTTAACATGTTAAAAAAACTTTAATAGAGTAAAGAAGCTGAAGCATCTTTTGAAGCTTTCAAAATAGTATTAATTTTTATATCAATCTTGTATTATATCAATTTTTTTGAGACATTTTTCATGAAAAAAATGATACATTAGAGTTTGCTATAGATGTTGTGCTATTACAAATGGAAGCAAATAATAAGCTCTATCCAATAAATTTTTATTTTAAGATTTTTTTACAATTGAGATTAACTACAAGATCCATGATAAAAACTTCTTACAATTATAGATTCATTTTAAGAATAGCATCATTATTCAAAAGATGCTTTTAGATTAAACACCATGTATACAAATTACAAGAACTTCAGGTATTTCATGGTAGCACGTGTTTTGAATCACCATCAAGCCTATAGAGGCAAATCTTTATTAAGATTTGATTTTAAAATGACTTATAGACCTGAAAAATAAGAAGATTTGTTAGATGTCCTTTTTAGATGATCTTATCTTGTATTAAAAGAAGAAGATGTAATTTTTGATCAGTAAAGAATGGTTCTCTTGAAGTCAAAGTATTTTATCTTCAAAAAATGAAATCAACATTGACTATTGATTTAACTTTTTTTTAATTAAGTTCAATCAAGTATGTTCAATAACTTTCTTATTAATAATATTAAAAATAAATCTTCTAAGTCTCTTGATATTTTTAAGTTTGAATTCAAAAATAATTTATTTTATTTTATGAAATGATTATATATTCTAAAAAAAAACCATGATTATGTGTTCTTCAAGCTTCTTATAACTTTCTAACAATATGATATTTTAAATACAATAAGACTTTAGAGCTAATATTGATAGATTTTTGGTGGTTTCAAATATAGAGAGCAGTCAAAGACTTTGTAGAATCATATGACATTTGTTCAAGATTAAAAACTCCTCTTCATCAACCTTATAGACATCTTTAGCCATTACGTATTCCAATACAACTATAATCTTTTGTTTCAATGGATTTTATTATAAATCTTCTAGTTTTAGGTTTAAATGATTGTATATTTGTGATAATAGATCGTTTTATGAAGATGACGTATTTTGTAGCATGTATAAAATTTATTATAGGTAAAAAAAAATAACTAAGTTTTTTGTTGACAATATCTATTACCTTCATGGATTACCCAAAGGTGTTATATCAAATAGAAAGACTCAATTTATATCAAGATTTTTAAAAATTCTTTTCAAGTTTCTAAAAGTAGAGACAAAACTATTTTTGAATTTCTATCTTCAAATCAATAAACAAACAAAATATG